CCCCCCCCCCGCTCCCCCACGGGGTGATCACTGCCTGGCTTCTGAACGACCGGCTTCAGTTGATGAGTCACCGTGCTCTGCAGAGCTCCTGTGTCTGGCTGGCTGGCTCAGTGTCAGTTTGTGAAGCTTCCCCACGCTGTGCGTGCGGTGTCAGCTGCTTGTTCTCTTGATGGCGTGGCCCTCTGTGTCCGACCACTTACTCATCCATTTTACTGTGGCGGGTCGCTGGGAGAGCTCCCCGGTGTGGGCCGCTGCAGACAATCCTGTATGTTCTGAACGTTCTGGTGCGTGTCTCCTGTGGACACATGCCTGCATTTCCATTGGCTGCGTGCGGGAGTGCAGTTGGTGGTTCGAGTGGCCCCCGGGGCATATGTGCCACCTCAGTAGACAGCGTCAGACGGCGACACTCCCACCAGCAGAATATGAGAGTCCCGGTTGCCCCAAGTCTTGCCCACACCTTAATAATTGTAGCTGTTTGGGTGGGTGTTACGAGTCTTGCGTGACGGGGTTAATTTACATTTCCCTGATAGCTAAAGAGGTTGAGAAACACGCTCCTGTGTTTCTGGGCCATTCGGAAATCCCCTTTCATAAGGAGTCTGCTGTTCGGGTCTCTTGTCCACTTTTCTGTTGGGTTATCTGTCTTTTCTTAATGTTACATGGATATTCTTTGTATACCATGGATCCAGCTCTTTTATTGGATTTATGAATTACCGACATCATTTCTCTTTCTGTGGCTTGCCTTTGTAGTCTCTTACTGGTGTCTGTTGATGGACGGACATCCTTTTTTTTTTTTTTTTTTTTTTTTTTTTTTTTTCTTTTTTTAAGTAGGCTTCATCCCAGCATGGAGCCCAACATGGGGCTCGAACTCACCAACCGTGAGATCAAGACCCAAGCTGAGATCAGAGTCGGACGGGTAACCAACTGAGCCCCCAGGTGCCCCAGACATCCTTCATTTTAATGTAGATCTATTTATCTTTTTGTTTTGTTTTGCTCTATGGTTAGTTTGGGTCCTATTTGACATCTTTGCCCACTCCAGAGCCATGAAGATATTTTCTCCTGAGAACTTTGTTTTACCTTTCACATTTAGACCTAGAATCCACCTAGAATTCATTTGGGTGTGTGGTGTTAGGTGAGCGGTCAGGGTTTACTTAAACACAGACCCCACGCCATTGAGGGAAGGAGTGTCCCTCCCCCCACACGCCATGAGCCGCCAAGTTGTTCTCCACGAACTTGGCTCGTGTGTGCAGAACTTGAATGGATTTCCACTTTGTGCCCAGTGACGTTGCTAAGTCCACTTTTTAATAGATTGATGGTTCTTTTGGATTTTCTTCGAACGCAGTCATGTCAACTGTGAGTAACGACCCTTCTCGTTCATCCGTCTTGGTTCTTGTGCCATTTATGTCTCTTTCTCACAGTTTTGCCCTGGTGTGGATCCCAGCGTGCGGAGGGTCGTCTCAGTCCTGTTCTCGGGGCCGTTTCCGACATTTCACTGTCAAGGATGATGTTTCTTAGGTTTTTCATAGATTTTTAAAAAAACATATTAAAGGGGTGCCTGGCGGGCTCAGTCGGCGGAGCGGGCAACTCCTGATCTCGGGGTCATGAGTTTGAGCCCCACGTTGGGTGTAGAGATTTCTAAAAAAGTAAAACTGAGGGGCGCCTGGGTGGCTTGGTTGGTTAAGCGTCTGACTTCGGCTCAGGTCATGATCTCACGGTCCGTGAGTTTGAGCCCCGCGTCGGGCTCTGTGCTGACAGCTCAGAGCCTGCAGCCTGTTTCAGATTCTGTGTCTCCCTCTCTCTCTGCCCCTCCCCTGTTCATGCTCTGTCTCTCTCTGTCTCAAAAATAAATAAACATTAAAAAAAATAAAAAAATAAAAAGTAAAACCGAAAAAAGAATTAAAAATAGGTAAAAACATATAAAGGACGTTCTTTTCAAATTCTTAGTTTTAGGAGTTTGTTTTTCCTTCAGCCATAACTAACTGATAAATTTGATGAATGCTTTTTCTGCATCTGTTGGGGTGCCTGTGTGATTGTCTCCTTTTGGAGTCCATGTGTTAAGTACATTGGCTTCTCTTTGTACAGATGCCTTTGTATTCCTATGAAATCCAACTTGGTCATGACGTGTTACTCTTTTTCTATGTATTTCTGGAGTTGACTTGCTGATATTTGGTTCAGGATTTCTACGCCTCGGCTAAGGGGAGACATCGACCCATAGCTCCCCTCTGACCACGCCCTTGTCTGGTTTTGCTGCCAAGCATTGGTGGCCCCATGCGGGGAGCTGGGAGGCGCTCGGTCCTTCTGTGCAAGAGTTTATGTGATTCTGGGGACTATGGTCTTCCCTAAAAACTTGGAAGGATTCACTGGTGAGCCCTCTGGGCCTGGGCTTTCTTTGGGAGGTTTTCATTAATGACTTTGGTTTCTTTATTAAATACCAGACTCGTCAGATTTTTCTATTGCTTCTGCCAGCTTTGGTAAATTGTATTTGTTTTCAGAAAATTTGTCTATCCAAATTTATAAGTTTATTCATAATCCTTTCACTTTCCCTGTAATATGTGCAGATTCTGGAATAATGTCCCCTTTCTTGCTCTTGGTAAATAATAGTTTATCTCTTCTCCCTTTTTCTTTATCAGCTTTATTAAGGAATTACCAATTTCATGAATCTCTTCAAAGAACCAACTTCTGACTTTGTTGATTTTCTCTACTGTGTGTTATCCCCCCTCCAGTATTTTATTATGAAGATTTTCAAGCATACAGAAGGGAAAAATTACAAGAATTGTACAGTGAATGCACACATATCCAAAGCCTCGATTCTACAGTGGTTAACATGTTGTTGTATCTGCTTTGTCGATGTCTGTGGATCTATCCAGTAGTTAATAGTGTTCTTCGCTGAGTTTCAGAGTTAAGTGATGGATGTGGGGTGCTTCACCTTTAAACACTTCAGCGGGCGACTCACTAATTAGAGATGAACATTTATTTACAGTTCTGAGCTAGAATTTCCGTACAGCGAAACGGACAGACCGTGAGTTTAAATCCGTGATGTTGACACACAACGTACAGGTGCCGTGTACCCCACACCCCTCCCTGTGAGACTCACGTCACCCCAGAGTCTTCTGATGATCCTTCCCATCAGTGCAGAGAGGATCACTCTGAATGGAATCGTGTGACGGGGGCCTTTCGAGGGCTTCGGGCTCTCTGCGTAATGAGTCAGAGATGTGTCCGTGCTGGTAAATATGCCAGCGGTTTGTGCCTTTTTATGGCCGAGTAGCATTCCATTGTGCAGCTGGACCACTGGTGTGTCGGTCGTCAGTCGACGGGCGTTTGGGATATTTCTGCTCGGGGCTGTTGCGAATGGCCCCGCTGGGAACATCTGTGTGCAGGATTTTGTGGGGACTTAGGTTTTCAGTTTTCTTGGGCATATATACTTTCTTGCCACGTCGATTGATTTGTTAGTAAAGTTGGGTTTTTAAATATCAAAATCTGTTTGAACTGACCCCAACAGAAATGTGGGAGCTGTTGTAAGAGCACAGGCGTGACCCACGTGGGGAGGTTCTCTGGACGGGACTGGAACCAGGGACCGAGGGGCTGTCCGTGTCTCGCCGTCTGTCCGTCTCTCTGTCCGTCTCCATGGACTACATGTCAGGCTCTGTCTGTGCCTGTCGGTCTGTCTGTCTCTCCTGGCGCTCTGTCCCGTATATCCGTTTCTTCTTGTTCTCTGCAGACCCACGTTCCTGAACATGAAGCAGGCGAGGCTGCTGCTGCCTTCTGAGTTCTGGGGGCTTCTGGGAGACCTTGCAGATGTGCAGAGCTTCTGCCCGTTCTCACAGGCCGGCCCTTCTCCCTGCTCGTAGAAGAAGAAGCCTTTCCGTGCTGTTCTTTGACTTAAAAATACTTTCTCCCAGACGGTCCTGCGCAGATTCCTCACACCATCGTGGTTTGATTTTGTTCAGTAACACAGTACTTGCGAGAGAGTATTTGCGACACCCGTTGTGATTTACGCATTGTTGTTGTCTTGTAGCATCCAGACCAAAGCATTTACTGGTGTTTATTAATCCGTTTGGAGGGAAAGGACAAGGCAAGCGGATATATGAAAGGAAAGTGGCCCCACTGTTTACCTTAGCGTCCATCACCACCGAAATAATCGGTAAGGTGTAAATTCTCCGTTAAATACATAGGCGTGTTTGAGAATGATTCTAGACAAGATTTTTATCTTATGTGATTATTTTATTTATTTATTTTTAATTTTTTTAAATGTTTGTTTATTTTTGACAGAGAGAGCGCGAGTAAGCATGGGGGGGGGGCGGGCAGAGAGAGAGGGAGGCCCGGAATTCAAAGCAGGCGCCAGGCTCCGAGCTGTCAGCACAGAGCCCAATGTGGGTCTCAGACTCACAGACCATGAGATCATGACCTGAGCTGAAGTCAAACGCTTAACCGACTGAGCCACCCAGGCGCCCCTCTACACTTTAAAAAAAAAAAAACTTACTAAAATTGTATTTATTCTTGCTTTAATTGTTTTTTAATGTTTATTTTTGAGAGACAGAGCAGGAGCGGGGGAGGGGCAGATAGAGGGAGACACAGAATCCGAAGCAAGCTCCAGGCCCTGAGCTGTCAGCACAGAGCCCGACGCGGGGCTCGAACTCACGGACCGTGAGATCATGACCTGAGCCGAAGTCGGACGCTTCACCGACTGAGCCACCCAGGCGCCCCATTATGTGATTATTTTAAACAAAATAAAATACGTTGTTTTCTCTGCCAGAATGGGAACAGTACAAAACAAAGACTGTATACCTCTCTGACCCAGTCTTAGCATAGAAGAGAAACACTAAGAAGATAAAAGGGTCAGGATCACGGACAGAAGATTCGTGGAAGAAGAAAGACGAGCGATTCGATGAGGCTTAGAAGTAATTTCACCAATGAGTGATGTTTTAAGAAACGTGATGTGGTTTTAAGTGCAGATTCTCAACGCCGGGCGGGTGCAGGAAGCCGGGGTTCTCCTCCCCGGACCCCGTGCTCTGGGGTCTGCACACGCGTGTTAAAGAGCCACTGGCAGTGTGGGCGAAGAGCCTTACAAATTAGGGGGTCGGTCAGGAGTCCAGATGTGAGTCCTCCCCAGGACGGCAGTCGGATGCACAGAAGTGCCCACGCGTGCACTGCCACGTCCCGTAAGAGCAGCACACTGAGACCGCGTAAATGCCCGCCAACAGGAAACGTGGAGGTACCACTGCCCGAGTGTGGCGAAACGGAAGGGACAGCGAGCGGGTGGACCTTTAACGTGGTCTTTACGGAGAGCTTTTCACTTAAGAAAATGGTCAGGGCCGGGGCGCCTGGGTGGCGCAGTCGGTTAAGCGTCCGACTTCAGCCAGGTCACGATCTCGCGGTCCGTGAGTTCGAGCCCCGCGTCAGGCTCTGGGCTGATGGCTCAGAGCCTGGAGCCTGTTTCCGATTCTGTGTCTCCCTCTCTCTCTGCCCCTCCCCCGTTCATGCTCTGTCTCTCTCTGTCCCAAAAATAAATAAACGTTGAAAAAAAAAAAAATTTAAAAAGAAAATGGTCAGGGCCGGGAACACCGGGATATAAGTCTGCCCGCACAGCAGAATTTCAGTTGTGTCTTTGTGTCTTACGTTGAGTATACAGATGTGGGCTGACGTTTCCTTTTCTTTTTTCTTTTCTTTTCTTTTCTCTTTTCTTTTCTTTTCTTTTACGTCTTGGTATTTTTCTAAAATTTCAAACGAACTTGGATAATAAGGAAAAGCTATAAAATCTCTTTCCAAAAAGTTACCATTTGTTGGCAATTAGATGCCAAGAAGGTGGCGTCTCCCCCCCGAGGAATGCGTCCTGAACGAGGGTTGCCTCCGCCTGGGCTCGGCGCCCCACCCCCACTCCATCCCCCTGAGGATGTTCTAGGACCTCATTTTAAAAGAATGGTTTGCTTGCCTCTTATGTTAACTCAGACTCTCAGATTCGAACGTAAACCGTACAATGAAATATTATCTTTTCCCCGTAGTCACCGAACGTGCTAATCAGGCCAAGGAGAGCTTATACGAGATCAACATAGATAAATACGACGGGTGAGTAAGGTTCCTTTCAGGCCCTCCCCACCTGTCTTAGTTTTGTCCGCTCCCTGCCCTTGCTTTTCCTGATTGTCAAAGTAAACCTGCTTCCTATAGAAAACCAGAAACTGCAGAAAATTTCCATCACCCCTCCTCTGCGTCTGGGAGACAACCGTGGGCCGTTTTCCTTCTCCATCTTACTACCTGCATATGCAGATTAACTTTTTCTGAGCAGTGGAGAGCACGGCGTTGCGGGGACAGCAGAAGGGACCCTAACCCCCGTGTCCCCTGCAGGATTGTCTGCGTTGGTGGAGACGGCATGTTCAGCGAGGTCTTGCACGGCCTGATTGGCAGGACACAGAGGAACGCCGGCGTGGACCAGAACCAGCCCCGGGCAGCCCTGGTGCCCAGCCCACTCCGGATCGGCATCATCCCCGCGGGTAGGGCGTCCCGTCCCCGTCCCCGTCCCCGTCCCTGTCCCCGGGGGCATGGAGCTTCCTTCAGGTTCATTCTGTTACCGAGCTGGGGATTTTATCGGCACATGGGTGAAGGCTTTGTTGACAGTTGATGGCGGAGGAAAGGACCACTGATGTGTGCCTGGGGGAGTCCTGTCTTCCCCCGACACCTGCTTCCCACAAGCGCCCAGAAGCTGGCAGCTGGGGGACAGTTGGCTCTCAAAGGACTGCCGAATGGCAGGGGAAGGGGGTGAGGGGATGGGGGGCACTGGGACCCCAGAGCGCAACTGAGGAGGAAAGGACCCCAGAAAGCAGCTGGTCTTCTAGAAGTGGCTTGTAGCCCAGACCTGGGGGCGCTGGGCTTGGGGGAAGGGCCCGTGCAATGGGGGCCGGGAAGGAGGGAGCCGGGCCTGTTAACCCTGTGGGCCCCTGGGCTGCGTCCCAAAGACATAGCTCAGCCGGTTTTAGGTCTTTCTAGGAAGTGCCTAGTTCTTTGAAAAATGACAGTGCTAAGGCAAGCAAAGCCTGGGCATTGTTGGTTTAAGCCTTTGCAAACAAGGCCACGGGGATGAGGCGCCTTCTGCCCTGCGCCCTGTGTCCCCGCCCTGTGTCCGCACTGACACAGGCTGGCTGCGGGCCAGGGTCTGGGCAATATCCCCACGTCACGCGTCATGTAATTCCTGTAATTCCGTGGTCACGACCGCTCTGTGAGGGAGGTGCCGCCATCATCCACAGATGAGGGGTCTCAAGGTCACCCAGAAGGGCACGGACCGTGGGAACTCAGAGACCTCTCTGCCCCACCCTACAGTCAGGAAGAGTCTTGTCTTTTTCCGACTGACGGTGTTTGTATATTAAACGTATTTATTCTTGGTCGCTTCGGTCTCAGCTGTTTTCTCAGGTTAGGCTTGTCTTTGGACTTTGAATGTGGTCTGCTCTGGGCTACGTGAATTTTGTTTGTCCACGTGCCAAACTATTTTTCCTCGATGTCACCACGTGCCTGCAGTGGCTCTAATACTTAAAACTCTAAGCTCTGAGCATTGATGTTCGTGGGAGCCCGTGCAGCTGCATCAGGCATGTGAGGACGGACCGAGGCCGGCTCTGCGCCCTCTGGGCCTTGGGGTGCAGTGAACTAGACGGGTGTGGCCTCTGCCCACGGAGGAGCCCCCAGCACACGAGGAAGCGTGGGCGCTGCGGGGAAACAGTTCAGGGAGAACGGCCGGGACGGCTTCTCTCTGCAGGGAGTCCAGGGCCGTTCTGAGAGGGGACAGGTGAGGCGCCAGCCGTGCACGGGGTCAGCTGGAGCGGGGGGCAGATGGGAATGAGCTGTGTGCCGAGGAGGGGGGCCTGTGGGGCAGGAGTGCCAGGACTGGGGTAACGGAGGCGCCTGGACAGGGGCCCAGCACGGGGCTCGAGTCCCGAGGGCCTTGCGGTGAGACACAGAGGGAAGAGTCTCATGGGCCCGTGGGCAGTGTCGTCTGTGTGGGCTCGAAGACCACCCCCTACGTTCTGCTCAGGGCGCCATTGCCCGAGGCCTAGGGAGGACGCCCGTGGTTTGGTCGGTGGCCCCGTGGGCGGCTGTGACTTGGGCACAGAGTGAGCCCAAGGAACCAAGGGTGACGGAGGCGGCCAGGGTGACCCCGTGATGTTGGACTTGGCAGCCTGGGGAGGGGCCACGACGAGGCAAGAGTTCTGATGGAGATCCGAGACGGGGCTCCCGGGGGCCCTGAGGAGCAGTCGGGAGGAGGGGGTTGTGTGGGGGGGGTCCGGGACAGAGCATGATGGAGGCCACCGCTGCAGCCACTCTGGGTCCCGAGCTGATGTTTCCTAAATTCAGCCTCTTTCCGCTGGAGTATCTGGAGGTATTAGCGAGGCCGCAGAGAGCCGACCCTCCACCCGGCGTCTTCCCGTCACTGCCCCTGTGCTGCGCAGTGGGGCCCCAGCGCCTTGGGAGGGACGCGGCTCAGCATGGGGGGCCGATGATGCCAGAACCACGTCCTGACGCCTGAGCTGAGCCAGACCTTGCGTTTCCGGAAGCTGGGCCTTCCTCTTGGTTAAAGCCTGGGCCACAGGCTTGAGGAGATGACCGGGGAGTGACGTCGGACCCGAGGGTCGAGCTGTTGAAGGCACGCTGACAGAACGCCAGAAGGGAACAGTGGTGTTGGGGGCACCCGTGAGGACCGGGACGTGTGTGTGGACTTGTCTGCCGGCGCCCGGGTCCCTCCGCCTGCGCCAGAGTTCACCCAGTCCGTCGGTGCCCGTGCGTTCTCGGCCCGGCTGCGGCCCAGGAGTGAGCAAGGCCGGGCTCGTGGGCTGTGGGGACGCAGACAAGGGTGAATAAGGAAGAGAGCCGAGCAGTGGCAGGGACCACGCCCTTGCAGACGGGGGGCTCTGGACGACCTTCCGGGGTGAAGTGTGGTGAGGGCAGGAGGGGGCCTGGCTGCGGGTGTGCTGCCCTCGGGGGGCGGGGGCCTCCTGGGAGAAAGGGGCAGGTGGCAGGGGCCGGCCGAGGGGCGGCGGCCCCGTGAAGGATCCCAAGTAGGCGGGAGGCTGAGCGGTCCCCTCCTTCGAAAATCTGACCTTTCAGTAAAACGATCCCTGAAAACCGTCGGAAGCTCTGTTCACCTGCCCCACTCTTTGCCCAAAGGACCCGGGTGACCGAGAGAGAAGGTGCGTCCTGCCCGTTCAGGGCGATGGCGGGATCTAGAATTAAATCCTGGAACACAAGCACATTTCCGCCCATCTTACACCTGGATAGAAGGTGTTTGCGTTGAACTCCGGCTCCAGAAATGGGGGCCACACCCCAGCCCGGCCCAGGCCCGGACCCTGGACGCCTGACCAGAAAGGTCGGTCGCCTCGCCCTGTCCCGCCCACGCCTCCCTAGACGAGACGCCTCTGGCAGCTTGGGAACAGCACGGGCCCACCTCTGTTGTGGTTGTAGAGGGCGTCCCACGCTCGCAGACCTTCCGGCCCCACGAGGTTCCTTCTCGAGACTCGGAGCTCCCCCGCGGGGTCCCCCTGTACGGGGTGGCCCAGACGCAGGGACAGGCTTCAGAGACCTCGGTTTATAGGCTGTGGTGCAGGATAGAAGCCAGACGTCGGCTTCTGCGTTTTTATTGGAGGTCCTTGCAGAATCCTCACCGACCGTACGCGTTACATCCCTGCAGGTGCAGGCGAGTGTGGGGGTCTCCTCAGCTCTTGTGATGAGGGATGGCTTGCCAGGAAAGTAAACAGGGCCCTGGGCACACAAGGGGAGCGAGTGGGCTCTGCGGATGTTCTGGAAAGTTCTGGGGATGTGAAGGACTACCTCAGAGCATGGTTCTTTTGGAGTCTGTGCTCTCGAAACCATTTATATTATCCGAGCACCCTTCACTCTAACGACGAGTGAGCGGGTGGGGAGAGTCTGAAACCACGAGGCTTCTCGTGGACACCGTTGATGTTAATTTCTATTAAGATTAGTCACTCCTATAATCTTAAACGTTTATTTAAAAATGTGTATTTGGCTCATTTGTGGAACGAGGTGCCACTGAAGTCTTCAGGTTAAGATTGGTGAAAAAAAATATGCGTGTGTTTATATAACTTACCAACATCCAGAAGCCACATGTCAGCGTAGATTAAATAATTAAGAGCCTCCCCTCGGATCACAGACTGGACCAGATTCTGTTACTCGAAGAGACCCCAGAGGGTGCTTGCAACCCGACACGTCCGTCGGGAGCCTGGAACTTTCCGGCTGCGTCGGACATCACTTACGACGGGAGACTTGTAGATTGTCCCGGGGCCCAAGGGCAGAGACGTGGCCCCTGCTGGCGTCCAGGCCCCCCTGCCCGTTAACGCTGGTTCCTCCCGATGGATCTCGGTCTGTGCTGGGCGTGGTGTCCGTGACAAAACTGTGCCGTTCTGGATCCTGTCCTCCCTTTGTTAGGAAATCTACACCAGGCTTTCAGCAAAGGACGTGTTACACTTCGCGTTGCTCGGCCCCGTCCCAGACCTGCTGGGTCAGGATCTCGGGAGAGTGGGGTTCAGGACCCTGTTGTAAATAAGCACCCCAGGAGAGTCTCCGCCCACTCGGGCTGAGAACAGTGACCTGGATTATGACCCAGTTAGAACCGGGCCACACCTAGGGAGGACCTGGGGGTCCAGGCACTGGCCGGGTGCCACGAGGTCGCCCCTAGTGTGCAGCCGAGCATGTCAGCGTGAGGCGTGTGCCCGCCATGGCCAGCGGAGTCCCCTCACGTCTGTCAGGTGACAGCTGCCGTGCCCCTGTGACCCAGGGACGGGTCACGGCGCGTTCTGTGAAACCGGGTGCTGGTGTTGGGGGGCAGGCTTCCACGGGGCTTTTTCCGGGGTCTTCCCGA